AATTGTGACTGCCCACCACGACTGTTAGAAATTATTACAATGACTCCCAAAATAAAAAAAAAAATCAGCGCTCTGGATTCTTCGGTTGCGGAGTTACGCCAAACTTCACGTGCTCGTACGTGAGAAGCAGCGTGAGTGCTTTCTTCGCTTGCGGTTACTTAAAGGCGGCCCCAGGTAGTGCTCAAAAAAGTTTCAGTACTCAAGCTGCTCTGATTGCAGAGTTACTTTAAATTTCACTTATTCGTACGTGATTTCACGTGTTTGTACGTGAATACTTTGTTCGCCCGCAGTTAGTCAAACACAGTCCTAAGTAACGCTCAGTAAGTTTCAACACTCCAGCTACTCCGGTTGCAGAGTTACGTTAAATTTCACGCGTTCTTACTTGAGTGGCAACGTGAATGCTTTCTTCGCCCCCAGTTGCTCAAACACGATCCTGCCTTGTAACCTTTGTGGATCTCGAGATGAAAACTCTTTACAGACGCACACACAGACAACCCCTCGACAATATGCGTTTTTGCATTGTATAGCTGCAAAAAACGCATAAAAAGAGAATAAAACCCAGGCTGGAACGTACCAGGCGAGCCGGTGCGATCATGCGTTTTTGCATCAAACTTTGAGGCGCTCCATTAAATTTCTCTGCCTTTTCCCCACCCCCTCCACTCGCTGTTTCCGTCCCTCCCACTTTCCTCGCTCCCGCCCTGGGTATCCACCTCCTCGAAGCGATGATATTGTGCTGCATTATAGGGCACTATTATAAAGCGGAATTTCGTGAGTACGGTACCGCAAGACACATGTGGGCAACAGGCCCCGCTGAGTGGTCTAACGCTGCTCAGCGGTGGCGTTGTTTGGTTGGAGGGTGGGTGTGGTGGGTGATGTTGTGTTGTGGGTCGGTGTCGGGAGAGGGGGGGAGGGTGTTGAGGAGGTGGCTGGTGTTGGAGGGCGAATGGTGTTGGTGGGCAATCGGTGTTGGAGGGTGGCCGGTGTTGAGGGCGCTCGATGT